TGAGGGATGGAAACGAGGATGCACAAATAAGAAATGAGAAGTACTCCCGATCTGAATCAAATGATTGGCGATACGTGAAGTCCTGATCAAATTATTCGTGAACCCGCTCCGAAGTCCCGATCTGAATCAAATGATTCGCGAATCCACACCGAAGTTCCGATCTAAATCAAATGATTCGTGAACCCGCTCCGAAGTGCCGATCTGAATCAAATGATTCGTGAACCCGCTCTGAAGTCCCGATCTAAATCAAATGATTCGCGAACCCACACCGAAGTACCGATCTGAATCAAATGATTCGCGAATCCGCACCGAAGTCCCGATCTGAATCAAATGATTCGCGAATCCGCACCGAAGTCCCGCTCTAAATCAAAATGATTCGCGAACCCGCACGGACGTCCCGATCTGAATCAAATGATTCGCTGAATCCGCACCGAAGGTCCGGTCTAAATCAAATGATTCGCGAACCCGCACCGAAGGTCCAGTCTAAATCAAATGATTCGTGAACCTGCTCCGAAGTGCCGATCTGAATCAAATGATTCGTGAACCCGCTCTGAAGTCCTGATCTAAATCAAATGATTTGCGAACCCGCACCGAAGGTCCAGTCTAAATCAAATGATTCGCGAACCCGCACTGAAGTGCTGATCTGAATCAAATAATTTGTGAACCCGCACCGAAGGTCCAGTCTAAATCAAATGATTTGCGAACTCACACCGAAGCTCCGAAGGTAAATCAAATGATTCGCGAACCCACATCAAATGATTCGCGAACCCACACCGAAGTCCCGATCTGAATCAAATGATTTGCGAACCCGCACCGAAGGTCCAGTCTAAATCAAATGATTTGCGAACCCGCACCGAAGGTCCAGTCTAAATCAAATGATTTGCGAACCCGCACTGAAGTGCCGATCTGAATCAAATGATTCACCGAATCCGCACCGAAGGTCCGATCTGAATCAAATAATTTGTGAACCCGCACCGAAGGTCCAGTCTAAATCAAATGATTTGCGAACCCGCACTGAAGTGCCGATCTGAATCAAATGATTCACCGAATCCGCACCGAAGGTTCATGAACCCGCTCTGAAGTCCCGATCTAAATCAAATGATTCGCGAATCCACACCGAAGTTCCGATCTGAATCAAAGGATTCGTGAACCCGCTCTGAAGTCCCGATCTAAATCAAATGATTCGCGAATCCACACCGAAGTTCCGATCTGAATCAAAGGATTCGTGAACCCGCTCTGAAGTCCCGATCTAAATCAAATGATTCGCGAATCCACACCGAAGTTCCGATCTGAATCAAAGGATTCGTGAACCCGCTCTGAAGTCCCGATCTAAATCAAATGATTCGTGAACCCGCTCTGAAGTCCTGATCTAAATCAAATGATTTGCGAACCCGCACCGAAGGTCCAGTCTAAATCAAATGATTTGCGAACCCGCACCGAAGGTCCAGTCTAAATCAAATGATTTGCGAACCCGCACCGAAGGTCCAGTCTAAATCAAATGATTTGCGAACCCGCACCGAAGGTCCAGTCTAAATCAAATGATTTGCGAACCCGCACCGAAGGTCCAGTCTAAATCAAATGATTTGCGAACCCGCACCGAAGGTCCAGTCTAAATCAAATGATTTGCGAACCCGCACCGAAGGTCCAGTCTAAATCAAATGATTTGCGAACCCGCACCGAAGGTCCAGTCTAAATCAAATGATTTGCGAACCCGCACCGAAGGTCCAGTCTAAATCAAATGATTTGCGAACCCGCACCGAAGGTCCAGTCTAAATCAAATGATTTGCGAACCCGCACCGAAGGTCCAGTCTAAATCAAATGATTTGCGAACCCGCACCGAAGGTCCAGTCTAAATCAAATGATTTGCGAACCCGCACCGAAGGTCCAGTCTAAATCAAATGATTTGCGAACCCGCACCGAAGGTCCAGTCTAAATCAAATGATTTGCGAAC